TCATGACAGAGGGATGGTGTATTAGTTTGTTAGGGCTGCTGTAATAAAGTGCCACAAACTGGGAGACATACACAACAAAAATTTCTTCATTTCAAAATATATTTTTATTGTTTTTGGTTTGTTGTTTTTTAAGAGAAAGGGAGAGGGGGAGAGAGAGAAACATCAATGTGAGAGAGAACATTGACCGGCTCCCTCCCACACACACCATGACCAGGGATTGAGCCTGCAACCTGGGCATGTACCCTGACCGGCAATCAAACCGGCAACTGTTTGGTGCACAGGATGATGCTTAACTGAGCCACACAACAAAAAATATTATCTCACAGTTCTGGAGGCCAAAAGTCCAAGATGAAGGTGTCAGCAGAGATTGTCCCTTCTGAGGGCTCTTAGGGGGAATCTGGTCCATGCCTCTTCCTGAACTTTTAGTGTTATAGAAAAACTGGAGAAGAACCAAGCAACGCTTAGAGAGATGGAGTTACATTTTATTATGCGCGGGTCCAGAGGAAACTGTTTCTCAAATTCTGTGTGTCTTCACACATGAAGGTTCTCATATTTATACGATCTTACCTTCTTTGTCTCCCAAATATGGGGTTTTTCCGGTTCCCTTTGCAAGTTCTTAAAGGGCCCTATGTGCTGGTGCTTTGAGACCTTGCCCAAAGGGTTGGCCTGACGCCAGCACTGATAACTTCGTCTGGAGAAGGTTTAATGGCTTCTCTGAAATGGGAGTAGTCTTATTCTCCTTATTATTTAAGCCAGCAAGCATCTACAGAAGCCAGAAATAGCAGGGTTAAAATTTCAAACAGCAGTTTTTATATAAGATGGATGCTTCATTAATATAGTGATGGCGAACCTATGACATGCGTGTCAGAGGTGACACGTTGACTCATTTTTTTGGTTGATTTTTCTTTGTTAAATGGCATTTAAACATATAAAATAAATATCAGAAATATAAATCTTGGCCGACTTGTCCCCATGGCCGCTGCGCCAGAGCCCAAGGAACCCAGGCAGAAGGGGAACCGCTGTCATGTAATGGTCATCAGGGTGTTTTAATTCACTGAGAGTTGATAAAAGAATTCAGTGGAAGAAAAAATTAATGACCTATTTAATTGGTCCAGCATTAACAAAATACTGATAGGAGGAACCAAGATGGCGGCATAAGGTATAGACCTGTGCATGCTGCCTCCCACAACAACATTGAAACTACCAACTATAAGACAAAACAGCTATCATCCAGAACCATGGGAAAGCTGGCCCAGTGGAAGTTCTACAACTGGAAGGAAAGAAAGAAGCTCATTGAGACTGAGTAGGAGGTGCAGAGGCACCAAGAACAGAGGTACGGAGTCGCGAGCCAGGCGGGCTGCAACTGGATGCGCGTTTTTTTTCAATCGGAAGGGGTTACAAGCTCTTGAATCCACTGAGCTTGTTTGGGGCGGGATTCTGAGGTCCCAGACCCGTACGGGGAGAGGTGGGACTGTCTTTCAGCGGGTCGGAGAGTGAGGGTGGCTTTCTCGCGGAGAAGCTCACTGGCACTCAGGGACACGGAGACGCGGAGTTGTGGAGAGGCGAGGAGTCACGGAGATGCTGACAACAACCATTGCTGTTTGCTCCGCCCTGGTGATTCTCTGAGATCCCACCCTACTCAATTTACATCCTCACCCAAGGTGTGCCAGTGGCACAAAAGGAACCACCTGCGCTTTTGCAGCCTAACTCAACAAACTGCAGATTTCAACTCCTGGCATCCATAAGGGACACACTCAAGAAGCAGAATCAGGTTCGGAGGAAGCCGGAGCCGGACCCGGCTGGGCCGGGTGTACCAGCAAACGCACAAGCAGGTCCACCAGATTCAGTCTCACATGGGATGCCGGGAGATGGCAGAAAAGTGGTCTGTGCACTTAGTAGAAAACGAAATCCAAGCAAAGCATACCAGATATTCAGCCAGCTAGAACATCTGGAGATTTTGTCCAGCAGGGAGCCTCCCAACAAAAGACAGAATGCCAAACTTCATGTTGACTAGTTAAAATATGATGTCCAGCACCTGCAGACTGCTCTCAGAAACTTACAGCATCAGCGATACGCAAGGGAGCAGCAAGAGAGACAGCGAGAGGAACTTCTGTCTCGCACCTTCACCCCAACGTGGGTTGCAGTGCCCCCTGCAAGGCTGTGTGAGGCTGCGATGCCCCCTGCGAGAGTGTGATGCCCCTTGCGAGGTTGCGTGAGGTTCCGACGCCCCCTGAGAGGCTGCGTGAGGCTGCGACGGCCCCTGCAAGGCTGTGACAGCCCATGTGGGGCTGCAATGGCCTCTGTGAGGCTACGACGGCCCCTGCGAGGCTGGGACGGCCCCTGTGAGGCTGCGACAGCCCCTGTGAGACTGTGTGAGGCTGCGACGGCCCCTGCGAGGCTGTGACGGCCCCTGTGAGGCTGCATGAGGCTGTGATGGCCCCTGTGAGGCTGCGACGGCCCCTGCAAGGCTCCGATGGCCCCTGCGAGGCTGTGACGGCCCCTGGGAAGCCTGCGGAACCAAGCAAGCCGCTCAGACAGCTTCGTCGACGGCCCATGAACCAGCTCGCAGCCCCACGTACAACTATCACCTGAAGGGCTAGAGGGGCGAGAGCAGCTGTAGTGTTGCTTTCTCCTCACTTTTGGTAGCGAAATCCTCATTTTAAACATCAGAGGATACATTATTTTAAAAAGCCGTTACGTGTCTCCGTACCCTTTTTGAGTAGAGCGTGATCAAGTCGTGAGAGACCTTTCTGAGCACAGGGACACGTTGCGGATGGAAATAGCTACATTTTCCATGTGTATGATCTTTGACCTGGCAACAAAAAGCGTACACCTATGGATGAGGACAGTGTGGGGGGTAAGGGCAGAGGGTGGGGTGGGAACTGGGTGGAGGGGAGCTATTGGGGGAAAAAAGGGGAACAACTGTAATAATCTGAACAGTAAAGATTTATTTAAAAAATATATAAATCTTTGTTTTACTATGGTTGCAAATATCAAAAAATTTCTATATGTGACATGGCAACGGAGTTAAGTTACAGTTTTTCAAAATGCTCTCACGCCGAGCTCAAAAGGTTCGCCATCACTATTCTAGTTGGTTGCTGTAAACTTCTGAGGTTCCTTTATTGTGAAAGCATCAACCAGATTTCTGCCTCATTCTGCACATGGCATTTTTTCTGTTTGAGTATCTGTATCCAAATTTCCCCTTTTTATAAGGATACCTTCATATTGGATTAAGGTCCACCCCAATGACCTTATCATAACTATTTACATTTGCAATGGCCTTATTTCGAAATAAGGTTACATTCTGAGGTACTGGGAGCTAGGACTTCAACATATAAATTTTGGGGATACAATTCACCCCAAAATAAATGGAAAGCTTGAGAGGAGTGAGAGTGGAGGAAGAAGTGACATGCAGAAGCTCATATCAGACTGTCACTCTTTCTTGACCTTTCTGTTTTCTATCCCCAGCATCTCTGTTATGACTAAGTGAGGATTCCCCTCTTCCAATTTTTAGAAATTTATATTTTTTCTCTGAGAAATGGTGGGGAACTTATTCCATTGCCTGTTTTTAAAAAATGGTTTGAGTCCTGGCTGCTGTGGCTCAGTTGGTTGAGCTTTGTCCCAAGAACTGAGAGGTCACCAGTATGATTCTCAGTCAGATGAAATGCCAAGGTTGCAGGTTTGATCCCCATTAGGGTCATGCAGGAGGCAGTGGATCAATGTTTGACTCTACATTGATGTCTCTCTCTCTCTCTCCCCCCACCCCCCTCTTTCTTCCTCTTACTCTAAAAATCAATTTAAAAAAATGGTTTGATAGGTATGGTCCCTCCTCCACCCCAGCCCTCTCAAAATACTTTGAAGTGATTTGACAACTGAGATCAGGACTCAAGTTTCTGTTCTTTCATTTTCGTTTCTGTTCTCCTTTTTCTTCCCTCTCTTCCCAGTGCTAAATTTGTAATAGGAACTTGATCAAGGTTATTTTAGTTGAATTGAATTCAGATGACCAGCCCACTACCCGCAGAACAAAATGGAGATCCATGTGGTGGAGTAAGTTACCATAGTTTATTAATATTTGTGAACAATACATTTTCCAGAGCACAGCATTATAAATATTAATATTAGAATCAGTGGAAATAATGAGTACAGATCAAATGTTTTTAAAGTGATAATTTCTCAGAAGTATATATTTTCAGGTCATTGAAGATTATAAGCAATCGGTTTGGACAAATAATTTTAATTTTTTTAAAAGAATTTTGTGGACAAATACTTTTTAAAGACCTCTCTTGCTCTGTGAAAGTGACCCGATATAAATGAATAAAATATATTGCTTTAGTTTAATTAAAAATAGATATATTTCTCTTGTAGAATTCTAATAATCTTCTTATTCACTTTGAAAACCTTAGAGTAAAATTACCAGTGATCTTTGGAACTTGCTACATTGAAATTGACACAGTTATCCCAGACATACTTTAAAAATTTTATAAAGCTTTTTTCAGTATGTTATTAAAAGCCTTCTTTTAAAATAGTTATCTTCGGACTGTCTTACAATACAGGGTTTTATATGTGAATGTTGATAGTCTGAAGCCATTTTGCATAATGCTGGTTGTATGATACATGGGAGCAGGAGTGATAGGCAGTAAGTGTGATCACCAGTTATGTTGAAGCTCGTTCCCTTTAAAGCGTGCAAGAGAAAACTAGCAGTTATCCATCCCTAAAGCTGGGTAAAATGAATAAAAAGTGATGGAAACCCACAACCAGCAAATCATTATGGCTTTGCTGACAATTTAATTATTTAATTCCCAACTATTATTTCAACAGATTTAAACATTTTTTTCTTCAACTTAGCTAAGTCAAAGTCACTTCTCTTATACAGAAGTTAAGCTCATCGCCACTTCATCTGAGGGTAGTAAAACCCTTTTCACTTCCAAGTGTGGGGGAATCACCCAGCCAAAGGTCATGGTACACACGCAGGGAAAAATAAGTGCAGGAGGTCTCTGAAGTCAGTATTCATCATGGAATGGATATTCAGGATGACCAGAAAACCTGCCAAAGCAAGGGAAAAACTTTCATTCCAAAGTCACACAGCTGTATGTGTTACTAGCATCTTCTGAGTATTTCAGCGACCACTCCCTCTCTCTGTTAATCATTCCTTAGGTTTCTTACCCACCTCCTCCCAGGTTTCATCAAGCCAGCACTTTTACGAATGCCCTGGAGGTTTCAGTGTGTGTGTTTGGGCATGGAGGGGGCTGGTTGCCTCTACACCAACATTTTGCTCAGAACCAAAACACAGGAGGTGAGTGAAGCCTGCCTCTTTCCAACTCCTCCCTCCCTTCTGCTGTCCTGATAGCGGAACCACATAGGCACTTCTCTTCACAGCTGTCACCAAGCAAGGTCACCCTCTTCTCAGTACAGTGCTTCCTCCCCCTTCTCACTAGGCCTCCTGAGAGTTGATAGTTTGAGATCTAGAAGGTGATGACCAGCAAAGGAAGTTTCTGCTATAATGATGACAGTGATGATGTTGAACCTGTCTCTTAAATAGCAATAGCATAGTAGTCATCATACAAGTACTATGAGCTTTCAATTAAAATATACATGGACACAGACTATAGGGTCGTGAAGGCCTGGGGCAGGGGCCAGGGCAGGCTAGAAGAGATTAATGGGGGAGAAAGGGGACATATGTAATACTTTCAATAATAAAGATTTAATTTAAAAAATTAAAATATAAATTAAAATAAAATACAAATTAAATTAAAACAGAAAAAGGCTGTGAAATCCAGTCAAGAATAAACTGGATGAAAAACAAAAAAGACTCATGGCCCAACATGCCTAAATAATACATTTTTTCGACACACGGGGCCTAATATTTGTTTCTCCTTGATGATTTTTCTATTCCTGGTATGATGACTTATTTTTTCACTGTATCTAGAATTAGGTATTAAACATTTCAAATGTCAGAATAAATAATATTACCAACTAATTGTCTATAAAAATAATCAGTACATTGGTGGACTGACTACATCCAACTATCTCTTCCTAATTTAATATTTATTCAATGGAAACCCTTTATTATCAAAAGCTATTAATTAACATACATGTTTTTTATTTCTGAGTTTGTTTATTCTTTCATTCTTGCGGTTAGATGTCAAAATTTTTTCCCCTGGAAAATTCACAGTAGGAAGCTATTTTATTCATTCAGAAATGGATTCAGAAATTTGATATTAAGGTAGTGACAGTAGTTTTTGACTCTTGAAATACTTGGGGTCCAAAGTATCCAAAGTATATGAATTATTTTTATGAGCATTTATATTGCTCACTTAAAGAGAAGATTGTAAAGAGAAGATGACTATTCAGGTTATCTGAAGAACTGATAATATTAATAAAGAATGATTAAGAAGAAAAAATTGTGTGTATGTAAATACATACCATGTGTGTGTATTCACTTTTTATTTTCAAGGACCGATAATATCCTATCTAACAATAGACAAAGATTGAAATTAACCATACCTCCGTTATGCTTCCCATTGGCTAGTCAGCGAGATAAGCAAATTAAATGCCAACAAAGATGGCGTTCGGCAGCCATGCAGCTGAATCGAAAAGAAGGCTTGCTTGCTCCAGTGATGGAGGAAGCAAATGTTCCCCGCCTGCCGCGGCCGGGCTCTTTGCTCCAAAAGCCACAAAGTTGCAATTATATAAGCTAAACAAACCCCAGATACCTGCTTTTAGCAGGCCGTGGCCTCGGAGATGGAGCGGCAACAAAGTTTCAATTACAGAAGGTAAATAAATCCCAGAATAAAAAAAAAAAGGAGAGGCTGGGAGCTTCAGTCACCCGCGGGCTTGGGCAGCCTGAAAACCCTCAGCCCCTCAGCCAGACTGGACAGGCACCCCATTGGGGACCCCCACCCTAAAGCAGGTGTGGCCACCCTGAAAACAGCCATCAGCTCCTCATCTAGGCTGGCCAGGCACACCAGTCGGGACCCCCACCCTGAAGGGGGTGCAGGCAGCCTGAAAACAGCCAGCAGCCCCTCATCCAGGCTGGCCAGGCACCCCAGTGGGGATCCCTACCCTAAAGGGGGTGCATGCAGCCTGAAAACAGCCATCAGCCCCAAATCCAGGCTGGCCAGGCACCCCAGTGGGGACCCCCACCATGAAGGGGGTGTGACTAGCTGCAAACAGCCATCATCCCCTCATCCAGGCTGGCCAGGCACCCAAGCGGGACCCCCACCCTGATTCGGGACAACCTTCAGGTTAAACCAGCCGGCCCCCACCCAGGCACCAGGCCTCTATCCTATATAGTAAAAAGGTAATATGCAAACTGACCCTAAAAGCAGAAAGACTGGGAATGACTGGTCACTATGACACACACTGACCACCAGGGGACAGACGCTCAATACAGGAGCGTCAGGACACTCTCACATGGGAGGAGCTCTGCTCAGCCACAATCCAGGCTGATGGCTGCCAGTACAGCGGTGGTGGTGGGAGCCTCTCCTGCCTCCTCAGCAGTGCTAAGGATGTCAGACTGCAGCTTAGACCTGCTCCCCGCTGGCAAGTGGACATCCCCCGAGAGCTGCCGGGCTGCCAGAGGGATGTCTGATTGCCAGATTAGGCGCAATACCCCAGGGAGCAGGGGTAAGCCAGCAGGTAGTCATCCTCTGAGGGGTCCCAGACTGCGAGAGGGCACAGGCCGGGCTGAGGGACCCCCCTCTCCCCCGAGTGCACAAATTTTTGTGCACCGGGCCTCTTGTTTAGAGAATAAAGGGCTACCCCATTAAATAACCGAATCTGGCAACATTTGAAGAAGTGTTAGGAATTTTACTTGTAGATGGATGGAGCTAGAATGGTGGAACTAGAAGTTTCAAATCTTATAGGTGAGCATTCATCTAAAACTAATTTCTTGATTAGTCAAAGAACATATATACATAGCCCATGGATACAGACAACAGTAGGGTGATGGCCAGAGAGAGGAGGGGGTGCGGTCTGAGCTGGGTGGAGGTGGGTAAAGGGGGGAATGAGTACATCTGTAATAGTGTCAACAATAAATAAAATAAAACTAGTTTCTTGGCTCTCAACTTGATGCTCTTTCTACTACACTCCTATGTATCTGTCTCAGGAAGTATTTTTTATTGATTCATGCATCACTTTGATTTTTAGGAAGAAATACATATGGTGTTTGAATAATTGTGGTGTGATTGTATTAATTTGAATTGTATTATTTATACACTATGACTAAATTCTTCTTAAGGTCTTTAGCCTGCCATGCCTTAACCTGTCATAGGATGTGATATAAATGCCAGAAATCTACTTTTAAATAAAAATGTAGATTTACAGGGAGTTCCTAGAATGAATGTAATTTACCCAGACCAATTTAATATTCAGAATATACTGCTCAGTGGCCTTTAGCCTTGTGCTTTCTGGGGACATAGGTCCAGGTTCATAAGAGCCCACTTGGTGATGCTTTTCAATCTAACACTGCTGGGTGGTACCTGATTAAGGATCCCTAGGAGCTCACCTGAGCTGACCCGCTAAGCGGACATCTCTATTCAAGGTTTCGATGGTCTTCATTTCTTCTGTAGTGAGAGAAAAGTCAAAGATCTGAAATAACAGAAATAAAAGACAGATGTTTAAAAAGATAGAAAATGGGTCAAGCTTGGGATTATGGAGTGGGTCCAGCAATTGGAAACCTTCTAAGATTTATGAACATCTCTGAAAATGTCTAAGAGGAGTTGGTGTAGTGCTGGGGGTCCACCTAATGGAAGGGGAGCAGGAATTCTCTTCTGCTTCTTTGTCTTAAGATAATTCTGCTAGGGACATCTTACAAAAAATTTTAAATGCTGTGAAACAGTGTATGTTCAGGACATCTGAAGAATTCTTATTATTTCTGGATAAGATGCTGAACTTTTGATTCTGGACTTGAGTCTTTGTACACTTAAAAATATTCCCTTATCTCTAAATTTGCTTTTGTACTTTCAAAAAACGTTTGTTTTGTCCTTTTAATCACTTCTCTCATTATTTAAAAAATATTTTTATTGATTTCAAAGAGGAAGGGAGGGGGAAGTAGAGAAATATCAGTGATGAATGAGACTTGTTGATTGTCTGCCTCCTGCATGCTCTGCAGTGGTGATTGAGCCCGCAACACAGGCATGTGCCCTGAATGGAATCAAATTGTGACCTTCTGGTTCATAGGTTGATGCTCAATCACTGAGCCACACTGGCAGGGCTGAACAGTAAAGTTTTGAATCCATGAACACTTTTGTTTCAGATACCTCAAAATTTGTAGTTTTTGTTGTTGTTTTTGTTAATCCTCATCTAAGGATAGTTTTCTATTGATTTTTAGAGAGAGTGGAAAGGAAGGGGAGAGAAAGAGAGAAACATCGATGTGAGAGAGACACATCAGTTGGTTGCCTTCACATGAGCCCCTGACCAGAATCGGGAATCAAGCTCTTGACCGGAATCAAACCTGGGACCCTTCCATCCCCAGGCTGATACTCAATCCATTGATCCAAACCAGCCAGGGCATAATTTGTAGTTGTTTTTTTTTAAAAAAATTTGATGAGCCTACACATTAGTCATGCAGTGGCTCTCTCTTTTAAGATGGCTAAAAACAGTGTCAATGAATTTTACTGTGAGGTATTTGGGAAAGTGTTAAAATACTGACGGTAGTTGATATTACTGTCTAGTATTCTTTCTTCTCTTGGCTAATAACAGAATCCCACTTTTTCCTTTTATGAACTTCCCTTCCACCATCTAGTAGGGCTGTTTGTCACATGACCTCAACTCCAGCATTGGAATAGGGATGACTGTCTATGCAGCTGGTATCCTTAAGTTGAAGCAAACGGTCATTTAACATTTTGAAAAACTAGAATTTTAAGTATTATGCTAAATCTACTCTGGAAAAACAAAGCTGGGATGATATCATGATTTGCTGAATGTGTTGAGCCCACTGTTGACATCTACTGTTCAGAAAAACAATACATTTATTTCAAAATATGACAATGTACCCAGTCACTCAAGAACTCTGATGGAGATGTACAGTGATATTAATGTTTTCAGGCCTGCTAACACAACATCCATTCTGCAGCTTATGGGTCCAGGAGTAATTTTGACTTTCAAGTCTTATTATTTAAGAAACTAGTGGTGCGGTGCACGAAATTCGTGCACCGGGGAGGGTGTGTTCCTCAGCCTGGCCTGCACCCTCTTCAATTTGGGACCCCTCGAAGGATATCCTACTGCTAGTTTATAGGGATCGTGCCTAAACCAGCAGTTGGACATCCCTCTTGCAATCCGGGACTGCTGGCTTTTAACCGCTCACCTGCCTGCCTGCCTGCCAGATTGCCTCTAACCACTCTGCCTGTTGGCCTGCTCGCCCCCAACTGCCACCCCCCCCCTGCTGCCGGCCTGCTTGTCCCCAAATGCCCCCCCCTGCCGTCTGATCACCCCAAACTGCCCCCCCCCTGTTGGCTGATTGCCCCAACTTTCCCTTCCAAAGGCCTGGTCACTCAAACTGTTCGCCGGGTGGGCTGGTCCCTCCAAAGTGCCCCCCCTAAAGTTCTAAAACATCCAACTGAACCAACCAACTGGCCCCCTGCTGGTCTGCTTACCCCCAACGGCCTGCCTCCACCAGCCTGATCACTCACAACTGCCCTCACCTCTTGGCCTCTAACCGCCTCTACCTCGGCCCTGCCATCATGGCTTTGTCCAGAAGAACATCTGGAAGGTCTCCTGGAAAGGTCTCCCAGTCTAATTAGCATATTACTCTTTTATTAGTATAGATATATTTGTCTGTAAATATGGTTATGATTGCAGATATGAGTAGGACCAGGTAAAATTTTATAGAATGGGCCTTTTATTACAGATAATTTGCCATGTATGCATTTTTTCTAAAGAAGTAAAAATTACTTTAAAAAATGTTTCAGGCCGAACCCGTTTGGCTCAGTGGATAGAGCATCGGCCTGCGGACTGAAGGGTTCCAGGTTTGATTCCGGTCATGGGCATGTACCTTGGGGATGTGCAGGAGGCAGCTGATCGATGTTTCTAACACTCTATCCCTCTCTCTTTTTCTTTGTAAAAAACCAATAAAATATATTAAAAAAATAAAATAAAAATAAAAAATGTTTCAGGAAGACTTTGAGAAATTTACAGTATCTGCTGTTCTTCCAAGAAAGTTGTCACTTTTATGCCAGAGTGAGAATTATTTGTATGCTTTGTATGTCAGCATTGGGCCACTGTGACTGGGGGCCACTTAGCTTGACTTGAGAGTAATTATCTTGCTCACTGGCTGGGAGGGAGGATGTGAGGCAGAGGAGATAAATACTCGGTTCTGGATTATTCATAGATTGCTGACTTTCTGGATTGATTGTGCAAGCCCCTCCTTTTATTGATGTCCACCTTCTATTGACAGACATCTACCCTGGGAGAGAAATGAGATGAAACTCTCTTTCTTTTCATTGTAAAAAGCAATTGAATTCCTAAGGTGTGATAAGGCCACCCAGCCATCCACAGTCAAGGTACACATTTTCATGGAGGATGTTCCCACTCTTGAATAAATTAAAACAATTTTTTTCCTTTTAATTTAAACTTTCTTCTATAACTGTTTTCTTTTTACTTAAAAGCCAGTTTTTTTTGAAACTACTTCCAAAGCTGTTCAAGCTGTATATGTCCTTGGAATGAATTTATAAATAAGAATTGAGCCGGGCTGGTGTGACTCAGTGGTTTAGCATCGACCTATGAACCAGGAAGTCACAGTTTGATTCCAGGTCAGGCCACATGCCCGGGTTGTGGGCTTGATCCCCAGTACAGGGCGTGTAGGAGGCAGCCAATCAATGATTCTCTCTCATCATTGATGTTTCTATCTCTCTCCCTCTCCCTTCCTCTCTGAATCAGTAAGAATATATTTTAAAGAGAGAGAGAGAGAGAGAGAGAGAGAGAGAAGAGTAAAAATGTTTGTAAATAAGAAAACATGTATTTGATGCTCTTAGAAAGTCTTATTTTCTTTCATTAAAACTTGTGCAGTATAGGGAACTCCATAGATTCTCTTAATTAGAAGAAAGTTAGAGGGAAAGGTACTAATTGAGAGTTCCTTTGAAAATGTGTCACATATATTTTTTTATGTTTATTTTTTTTAAATCAAAAACTGAAATGTTTTCTATTCAGAAAATATATTTGGATCTAAATATCTTCTATAATTTTAACCCTAAAATATCAATTTAAATATTTTAAAAATGGTTGGGATGTTTGTTTTTTTAAATAAGTTAGGTTACTGGAGTTCTACATGTTACTGGATCACCTGGGGTAATTTTCTGATTGGAAAATTAAGAATTATAGTCAGAGGGGAGGACATGAGAATTTTTAAAGGACATATTCAATTTACATTAGAAGCCGAACCTCTCTTATCATGTGACTTGTTTTGTATGTTTGTTAAACTATATTATCACATAAGCATTGCTGCTATTGGGACAAACAGTGACAGTTGATTTGGGTCACTTGAATGTCCACTGTCTGTTTTAATTTGTATGTTCATTTTGACTCTGTCATATGCTCAAACTTCAGTGGAAGTCATAAGAACCTATTATTTTTGCCTGCTCCCTCTTTTACTTTGGAAATATTCATTTTTACTCAGAGGGACCTTAACTTTGATGTAAGGGATTGTTTCCGTTGCCAACTGTTTTCTTCCTTGCCAAGTAAGAGAGTTGTTGTGAACTCTTCAGTGATGACTTCCCGAGGATATTTGCAGATGTGGTTGGGAAAAGTCATTTCATCCCTGATCTTTGCATGTCAGGTGGTGGGGTGCCGGGGTGCCGCCTCGGCTACGCCCCGGCTCTCCGATCCCGATGCGGCTCTCTCTACCTCCAATCACCATGGCGACCACCGGTCCGCCCGGCTTGGGCTCCGGCTCATTCTCCCTCCGATCGCCATGCGATCACAGGGCCGCAGGCAAGGCGGCCCCCACGCGGCTCTTGCCTGCTGCCAGGGTTTCTGATCACTGTTCTTTTGTCCTTCCCCTTTTGCCTCCCATCATTGTGCTTACATATGCAAATTAACCGCCATCTTTGTTGGTGGTTAACCGAGATCTTTGTTGGCAGTTAATTTGCATATCGCCCTAATTAGCCCATGGGAAGTGTAGCAGAGGTACGGTTAATTACCCTTTTTGTCTTTTATTAGATAGGATATGTTTCATAAGGCTATAACTGCTATAGGTAGGGATTCTTCTGATGGATCTGGACAAAGTAAATTGAAAACCTGGAAAGGATTCACATTGTAGATGCCTTTAAGAACATTCCTGATTCATGAGAAGAGGTAGAAATATCAACATTACAGGAGTTTGGAAGAAGTTGATTCCAACCCTCAGTGATAACTTCAGTGGAGGAAATAATCACAAATGTGGTGGAAATAGCAAGAGAACTAGAATCAGAAGTGGAGCCTGAAGATGTGACTGAATTGCTGCAATCTTATGATAAAACTTGAATGAACGATGAGTTGCTTTTTATGGATGAGCAAAGAAGGTGGTTTCTTGAGATGAAACTTACTCCTGGTGAATATGCTGTCGATATTGTTGAAATGACAAAAGATTATTACATAAAGTTAGTTCATAAAGCAGGGCCTGAGAGGATTAACTCCAATATTGAAAGAAGGTCTGTGGGTAAAAATGCTATTAAACAGCATCACAGATGACAGAGAAATTGTTTATGAAAGGAAGAGTTAATCAAAATGGGAAATATTGTTTTTTTATTGTAAGAAATTGCCACAGCCACCCCACCCTTCAGCAACCACCATTCTAATATTTTTAGAATTTTAGCCCATCAACATTAAGGCAAGACCCTTCACCAGCAAAAAAATTGCGATTCACTGAAGTCTTGAATGCTGGTTAACATTTTTTAGCAATAAAGTATTTTTAAATTAAAGTATGTACCCTTTTTGGACATAATACTACTTAATAGATAGTATAGTGAAACATAACTTTTATATGTACTGGGAAAGCAAACACATTCGTGTTAGTTTATTGCAATTCACGATTTATTTTGGTGGTCTAGGATGGCACCTGTAATATTTCTGAAGTATGCCTGTAATGTACAATCAGCAAAGCATTCCTCAAAGTGCTAGCAATAGTTTCAAATTCAGGTAAAATTAAATGCAGATATCAGCAGAGTGGGTCAGGGAGCTGTTATAAAATAAAATATGAAGGCATTACAAGTTTCTTCTTAGTCTAAACAAAATTCTTTGAATAAAAAATATCCTATTTTTTACATTTTCAGAAGCAATTCTCTTACCTGAAGGTTTTCTTTGATCATTGTAGGGTCATAGCTTTTAGGAATGACAACTGTCCCTCGCTGGATGTTGAAACGCAAAGCAACCTGAGCTGCAGTCTTATTGTACTTTTTCCCCAATGAGTTTAGAAGTTCATCCTCTAGCAATGGTTCGAAATATACACCCAACCTTAAAAAAATAAAAACATGCATGATATTTAGCTAGATCAATGAGAAGCAGTGGTTAATCAATCCTCCTTCTCTGTCTTCTTATTTACCTGGCAAACTACCAGGCCATTTCAGGTCACCTGTAAGCAATTTCTGTGATTACTGAGTCCTCAATGAAGAGTTATTCTTTGTGTGGGAAGATCAAGAGAGGCAAATTTATATTGCTGCCTTTTTGAGAAAGTAAATTTGTTGTTTTTTTTTCTAACCTATGTATTTTAATTGGCGCATTTAAGCCATTTACATCTAAAGTGATTATTGATAGGTACATATTTATTACCATTTTGTTATTTTCTTATTTTTTTATTTTTTATTTTTTATTTTTATATATATATTTTTTTATTGCTTAAAGT